TTCGATTTTCGACCAGCTCGAATTATGTTCCTTAGTCCTTTAGGATAATTGCTCTGCCGGTCGTCTTCTATAGGTGCGTCCGAAAGCCTCAGTATGGTCGGGGGTGAGTGTCTTGGTTTGTGGCCAATCACCCTTTCCTTACACCTCGCAAAATGCTTCTTTACAATCAGTTTTATCAAGTGGCCTCCAGTGAGGAAACGCTAGTCACTGCCTTACCATGTCTTAGGTGTTTTCTATCCTCAGTGAGACAATTTTAAGCCAACATCATATTACCAGGTTGTTGAACCACTGGCACTGCTCCTAAAAGACTTGGCTAAAACCCCTGATTGCGAAACAACCAAGAAGAGGCGTACGAAGCACACCCAATCCAACAGTTTTGGCTGTAGCGGTGGTCACTAGCCGGGAAGGTCAGGGGAGGGTGCATTGGACATCTTGGACGTTTGGCCCATTTCAGAGGACGTATGATCCGGTGAACTGGACACTAGACCCCAATGGAATGCGGGTTTCACACACTGAGAATTCACTTACCATGGCCTGGACAACCTGGCAGTATCGCGCTCACAAAATAATCATGAAACTTTTGTTTTAAAAGGATTTCTGTGCTCTGATTTGTTTTGCACATGGTCTGCACTCAGAGGGACGTGAAAATTCATAATGTAGTTTTGTAATTTGCAGTACAAACACACCTAAATGCTTAGATCCCCATGACAGTAGCAAGCCTAGGCAGTCTACCTTTATGGTTGATTCGGATTTAAAGAAACACAACGACCCGGCTGTCTGCACACAGGAAAGTTTGATCAAGAGGTCACATCGCATCTTACTGCTAAGGTATACTGACGGATAGTTTCATCTTTCCAGCCTGGTGATTCGAACAGTAACCTCTCTCAAACGTTTTTCTCGATAAACAGTTCGAGATAACCATCTTTTATCAGAACAACTAAATTTATTGTCAGTTCCTAATCTATGTAACATACTGACAAAGCAGATTTTGCTCGTTAGTGATGTTAGACTCTGAATCAAATTCATTTTCTGTTTAATTGGAGTCGTGTATCACCCATTCCAAGTATTATTAACACGTACTGAATATCCTTCTAACAGCCTATCGTTTTCGAAGAATCGAAAAGTCTAAGAAGGCTGATTAGTCGTTTGCTTCTGTTTCTAAAATGAATGGAATCGACTTAAGAGCTTCATTCACTATTTAGGGTACTCTTATCGAGTCCCAGTTGTTCTCTGTATGAGACAGCATTGATCGTCCTCGTTCCGGTAGCAAAACCTTTTATATGCAATTTATTGCTCGAATGCGGTAATTTTTAATTCGGTCGTAAAAAGGTCGCTTAGGATTGATTTCCACTCAACTTTGACACCGACTCAAAGACAACAATGTTGATTGAGACCGCTCGGGCTAAAGTTTGGTTGAGAAGGTTAAAGAGTTTCTTTTTTGTGGTGATCTTAGCCTGTGAGATGACGCATACCCTGCAGCCGCACACTACAGTTTTAGGACCATTGTGATCAATCAAGCTTCACGGGTGAGGTCATCAGAGCGCGTGCATGTCACAGATTCTGGACTTCATACCATACGTCGATCGTGTCAACCAATGAGAACCCGTGCGGCCCGGACAGAAGTAGAACAACGGCAGAAATACTACACCTTTTCTTATCAAGCTTCATCCAAAACCCGTAGTCCTTTAGCCTCAACGCACGCTGCAGTAGATGAGTCAGATCGAAAATGTCGGAATATTCTGAAATCAACGGATGTTGAAGAAAATTATTTTCTACAAATGTTGATATTGCAAAGCTTGGTTAGGAAATAAGAAGGTGTGGTGCTTGCATGCTGCAATCCATGTTGATTGCAGAGGGTTTAACAGACGTGCCTGTATCGTCAAACCATTTGACACCTCTCGCACAGCTTCAGTGTTTCTGTATAACACAAGATACTCCTAGGAGTAAAAATCTGAAGTGTAACTCAAACGATGCATTGTTTTGCATTAACAAGTGAACTGCGTTAATCAGAAGGAATACAGAACCTGCTAAGGATAACAAACTGTTCGTAAAAGTGCACCCTCATAACTATCATCAGTTTAGAAACGATGCAACGTAAGTTATAATCACCACGGTCGAGGCTTGATTATTACCGGTTTTTGTCTATAGCTTCTTGGGAAACGGCTTATTATCTTTGACCTTTTAATGTATCCATGAGTCAAAAACAGAGTTCCCTTTAAGTGGATATACGAAACGGTAAGCATATACCTTTTGGTTTATTTCAGGGCGTGTGAATGCAAAACAATGCATCGTTTGAGTTACACTGAAGCTGTGCGAGAGGTGTCAAATGGTTTGACGATACAGGCACGTCTGTTAAACCCTCTGCAATCAACATGGATTGCAGCATGCAAGCACCACACCTTCTTATTTCCTAACCAAGCTTTGCAATATCAACATTTGTAGAAAATAATTTTCTTCAACATCCGTTGATTTCAGAATATTCCGACATTTTCGATCTGACTCATCTACTGCAGCGTGCGTTGAGGCTAAAGGACTACGGGTTTTGGATGAAGCTTGATGGGAAAATATCGCGATTGGCAGAGGCCCGGATGACCATTGAGTTTGTTTTGTACATATTATTTAATCCCCGTTACTTCTTTCAATAAAGGAATTACTACTCCTGTGGCCTTTTCTTCGCGGCTCTGTTACGCGGAATATTGAGTGCAAGTGCCAGGGTGGTCCAGTGCTTACGTGACTGCTAATTAATGATTCGTAATTTGTGATTCGTGTTTAGTGTTCATTGCGTGCTACTACTACTATTACTGCAATTACTACAGTTTTTCCTCTAAAAATTAGTCTAAGATGAATAATAACCTTATTCGGCCTTTAATTTTTTGCACTCTGCTTGAATCCGTGTTCATTCAAATCCGGGGGGATTGTGGAAAAAACCACAGATGAGGCTGACTGACAGTTACCACTGACTATCATCCAAATCGGCTGCCGTAAACAGTAATCACCCAAATGGGACTAACAAAAAACAAAGTTGAAATTGACCATTTCTAGATTGGCACTTGGATTGCACACAATTATTCGATTGAATAACAAAACGCAAAATGATTGGTTAGTTGTGCTTCCAAAGGAGAGTGATTCGTGAATATGAAGACATGTAATGGCGCACAGATAAGGGGATAACGAAAGATACATACATGTAAGTTCCATTCTCAAGGATAGTTGGGCGCATGTATTGAGATCTTGGTGAGGGAAAACTATGGCACTCCGTGTGAGCTATCACATTTGTTACGAAATTGGGTCTGAAGCACATCAGAACGGGATGAACTGAACGTTTTTCACAAGGGACCACACACACACACACACACACACGTCTTTAACAAGTCCCTCTACTTGACCGTTGATTGCCTCTGGCCAATCATTCACTCGCCCCCGGCGTCCAAAATCAGTCCCCCGGATCGAGCTTCACAAACGTGCCAGCATTGCCCATCATTGTCGGTTCAGCGTCTTTGTATTCTTTCATATAATTTCGAGCGGAAGCTGGCCGCTTGGTTTCGTCCACCTGGATGGATGCCAACGGATAACCGTTGGAGTAGAACTCTTTGAATTCAGCACTCCAACTGTCTGATTTTATGATATTGAATTTGAAAAAGGGGAAAAGGAAGGATAATCAGAAAGCAAAATAGGGAGTTCACGTATAAGAATGATCAGACAGAAGATTATTGGATGCGCATCCCTGACGAGGAGAGCAAAACCGATCTTGTCCTTCTTGGAAACTTTGTCCAATCTTTCATATACTTCTCATCATATTGACGATCATGTCATAAATGACTAATTTCGCTTTTTAAGGGCATTACGATGAAACGTTCTAAACGGCATAAGTATAGAAAAGAGTCAAATGATTAAATACCAAGTCGAAATAGGTGAATAGGAGAAAAACACTCGGGTCAATGTATTCACATAGACTTATCTGCCTATTTGCATGCTACTTTCGATAGCAATCTGTGTGATAAACTGAAATACTTCACACATAAATTATGCACCCATGTATGCAAATGATAAGTAAGGAGGAAGAAGAAACGTTTGCTTCCGATTAGTAAAGATCCCAGTAACGGTACTTAAGCTTTGAATAAAACCCGAGATGAGACAATAATGAGACACTATCAGTTCAATGAAGCTGTACAACACTTCCCGGCTAGATCAGTTCATGCTTTATTTGCTCGCTATTCATGACCGATTCCCCGCGTTGATACCTCGTTATAGTCATAGATGGTTTATCACCGTGTTCAAGTCATTTCAACAAATGTAATAAGCGGAAATTGGGTTCATTCAAATCGGCACCAATCTATTCCTTAACAGCAGATAACTTGAATGACTTGGATAAAAGGAAATCGCAGGAACAATTTAAAAAAAATGAACGCACTTCAGTCCGAACAAAACCACCTACCAATAGCTGATTGAACCGGGCCGCCATGGCCCCCGTATTCCGTTGGCATGACATCTTTCAAACCGGAAATTTTCTTGAATGCCTTGCTCATATCGCTTTTGACTCGCAAGATCTGAGAGAAATACAGAAAGAGATACAGCTCAATTAACGGCTTTTCGTGTAATGGTTATCCAATACATTTATGGGGGTGAGGCCACGCATACAAGCGTGGCAATAGTAAACAGAAATAATGCGTAATTAAAAACTGAAAATAAGCGGAACAGAAATTGGATGGCGAAATTCGTCGTGCATATGGAAAACGAATTGTGAACTGAAAGGCTAGGAGACACTATACAGCTGTTTCGACCTCGTTGAGTCTCATGAGCAGCAGTGCGAATCCATCGACCCGTCTACGGATTGACCTCCGAACCTAACTGGTAGGTCACAAGCATATTACATTCTTCTACCCGGGAGCTGATCAGGCCGTTCTTTATTTTGTGTATACACAATATGGCACAGTCTATCTGGACAAGCACGTTGTGGTCATCACACCTGGCTTAGCTCAGCACTGGCTTTCAGTTTTATGACTCAGTTGAAAACTGACTACTTGTCATTTGGAAGTAGTATAAGATACGGTTCCATTATGTTATGGAATTCGTTGCAAAAAACTTGCGAAGACGGATAGTGCTTTACGTGCACAGATAGCATGCTTACTACCATGACCAGGGGACAAATGTCTGCAGTTTGCATTAGCGTGATGCACCGTAACCCGGGTGTGACTGCATACACAAAAGAACGCACAAGTGCAATATTGTGTGCATCCTCCGGATTTATATCGCAGGAGGGATGGTGAATTCTCATTATGAACCATAAAGTTGACACTTGGACATTGAGGAAAGAGCTATTAGCAGTATAGCAGGGATCTGATTTTTTTCTCCTTTAACCGGAGATGAATGAGATGAGACGTGATAGAAAAATTTGATATTATCAAAGGCTGAAGTGGCCAAAAATTGTATTGGTGAGCAATCCGTGCACGAATGGACAGAACTGGAAATCTGGATAGGATCCACAAAACCCATGTACGTAAAAGCGCTTGGGTCAGCTCAAGTTCTATATAAGTTCTATACTTCCATATAAGTGCCATCCCACCGAAGACTGGCGCTTCCCCGAAGTAGCACTGTTGATTTTGCCTAGCATGACTACGAAACGTCCGCGAACAACACCTCCAGCTCGGAAAACACACCAACAACAACATCCATATCCCGAGCTACAATCGTTCCACATTATTTCCATGTAAGACAACTGCATGGTTGGTGCGATTTTGTGGTATAAAAGAGCTACACCTCCCCCCTCCTCCTCCATCCGTCAACTAAACAGTGTGACCACTAGATAAACTACCTCTGAACTTTTTATTTGCTTACAAGATTCACACGAGCACCAGACAGATCATTGACAACTACAGCCACCTACCCCCAAGAAAAATTTGGTCTCATGTACTAACCGAATTAGTCTTGTATTGCAAAATTTGAGACTGATAGCGTCATTTAAATACATGACTTTTTGTAAGCTTGAAAGAATGAATGCGATTAATATAAACTATCATTCCGACTTCACTTTTACGCACATTCCTCAGTTCATCCAGTCAAACATACATTCGGAGGCACTAGACTCGATTTTCGCTCTTATTATTATTATAATTTTTATTATTATTAGCTCATCAGTAGTGCATATTCACCGTCACGTCAGGGTTTTGAACTCCGAACCCATTGCACGTAAGGTGTGTATGTTAAAACTGTGCCAAACAGCTCACACCACGAGCGCTGAACGGAATTACCAACTCATGTTTGTTCAGATATCGCCTTCGGTGAATATCAGTCAGTTCATTGTTGGCCCAAAAGCAGGGAAGAAAGAAGCAATTCACTATTTGTTGACTCTAACCGAAAGCCTGTCACCAAGTCAAGACTTCCATGCATGTTACGGACTGACTTGCCATAAACCTACTATGCTTGTCTGATAATTCTCATTAAACCCACAGTTACCTGTGAGTAGTAGTAGTAGTAGTAGTAGTAGTAGCAGTAGTAGTAGTAGTAGTAGTAGTAGTAGT